ATTAATCCGGTTGTTCCTAGGTGAACACTCATAAGCACAATAATTGGAATACCAGCTCATCCAGAGCTTCTTCCTCCTTTTAGATAGGATACAGGTGGGTACAGAGGAGGGAAATGAAGAGAAGCCTTAGGAGTCTCAGTGGCTGTTGCAGTCACTAGCAACCCAACTGATCTAGTCACCTACATTCCTTCTTACCTTGAAGCCAAGGTGAAACTCCTGCAGCTAAAGCTAGTAACTTCTTTCTCTGTGAATTCTTCCAGTCACACTGTCACTGTTCTCTGGGGGCAGACAGATCCTTTCCCTAATATGGAGACCTCTAAGAAACCTATGCACAGCAGAGGGGGCAAGTAGCTGCTTCTGTCTGTTATCTAGTTTCCTGGAGACTGAGGGGGATCAGAAAAGGGACAGGGGCCTCTCTAAACTCCTGTCTTCCCTTCCAGGAAAGCCCCAAGAGATCGAAGGCAGCCAGCCCTCCAGCCAAATTGGCCTCCAGTCAAATTTGTTTCCACTTATCCAGATTTCTTCTCTTCTTCCCATTTACTGCATGTCATGATTTTCTCCTCTCCCTTTCAGGGCTTTCCACGAAGAGCCATAAAACTAATTTGTGAAGTGTAGATTACCCTTTCTCTAAGGGCCCCCACTCCCCTGGGCCCAGTGATTTGCACATATGAGTCAATCAATACTTGGTGAATTAATGAATTATGCATAAGCAAATGAATGAATACAACTAACCAAGTTCATACTTCTGTTATCCCAAAATTGAAGAGAAAGTTCGTCAATGATTGAATTTATCTTCTACTCTTCTTCTTTACATCAGTATTTTTACTTCAAATAGTTATCAAGATCCCATACCACTTCCTTTACAGAAAATTAAGTAATGGAGATTTCAATCATTTCACTCTGCAAACAAATTTCTCCCACCACATCCCCAATGTTAAGCCTTCAGATTAGGATGAAGCTCTTCAATTCCATTTGACATGAGGGTGGGAGCAGGAAAGTGAGAAAAGGGTGGAAAAAAGTATGGGAGATACTCCCTGAACAAGCAAAACAGGAGGAGGATCCAATACCTTTAAAAAGTCAGCCAAGTATAAGAAATAACTCTTGCCTCTTGAGGAAAAGGTAGTAACAAACCTGATTTAAGTGAATGAAAGGCTTGGCAATAAAATAAAGCAACCCAGAGCCATCTGTAGATACATATACCCAACTAATTGTTTCCTTCTTTTTTTGGAGACAGAGTCTGGATCTGTTGCCCAGGTTGGAGTGAAGTGGCATGAACATGGCTCACTGTAGCCTCAAGATATCCTCTCAACTCAGTCTCCCAAGTAGCTAGGACTACAAGTGTAGGCCACCATGCCAGGCCAATTTTTAAATTTTTTGTAGAGACAGGGTCTTGCTATATTTCCCAGTCTGCTCTTGAACTTCTGGGCTCAAGTGGTCTTTTTGCCTTGGTCTCCCAAAGTGTTGGGATCACAGCCATGAGCCATCATGCCTGGCCCCAACTAACTGTTTTAAGGGAGAAAAATCATTAAAACTAAAGTTACCCTTTCCCCACGTGTCCAACTTCATGAAAATATTATTCATGTAGATGCCTATGCACTAGTCTCTTTGAGACAAAATCAGCCAAAACAACATGCCAGTATATAAGTCCAGAGGACTGCACTGCTGACTGAATAATTTTTTTTTTTTGAGACAGAGTCTCGCTCTGTTGCCCAGGCTGGAGTGCAGCAGTGTGATCTTGGCTCACTGTAACCACTGCAAGCTCCACCTCCTGGGTTCAAGTGATTCTCCTGCCTCAGCCTCCCAAGTAGCTGGGACTACAGGCCTGCACCACCACGCCTGGCTAACTTTTGTATTTTTAGTAGAGACAGGGCTTCACCATGTTGTGCAGGCTTTCTCAAACTCCTGAACTCAAGTGATCTGCACACCTTGGCCTCCCAAAGAGCTGGGATTATAGGCATGAGCCACCGTGCCCGGCCTGAACAAAACAAATCTTATAGGATCCCATATAATGAGACTGGTACATATTCCATCAATGATGCTACCCACTGGTGATGAGCTCATGATGGCTAACAGCTGAGATCTGACGTCAGCATTGCTCCTGCTTATCACACAACACTGAGCAAAGATATAACCTTTTCACCCTCCATTTGTCATGTGCAAAATACTGATAATGAGTGTTCACACAGATTCATCAGTTAACGCTTGCAAACACTAGGGAAATAAGCACCACTCCAGCTCTTAATGAATTACAATAACTTAATTCATGCTATTCCAGATTCATCAACACTGAATGAAGTGCAGTTGGGTAAATAAATAGGTGAATGAGGTCCTGAAATGGTAACTGCATTCACTGTGACATGAAGATGAAGAAGCCAGCCTAAGCGCAGGTAGTACTATGGTGACGTACTTGAGAGACATATCTTAGTTTGAGAGAGAGTTTCTGTTAGTGAAATTTCAACATTATATATTGAGTACTACTATAAGCAGTAAATATCCTGATACAGACAGAATTCAGTTTTTATGGATAAGGTTTGTAGAACCTAGTTTTAGTCACAGCTACCTGTTGGAAGAGATCAAGTCAAGTAAAATTATAGAAAACAATCAAATCTGTAAAAAAAAATACAGTTTTGAAATGTGTTATAATTTAGTTTCTATAAGCTATACTTTTAAAATTTGTGAAGTAGGATTCATTCTACAGGAAGACACAGAAAAAAATGTCCAAATGTAAACAGGTTTGCTCTGTTTCTAAACTTCAGTTTGATACAAGGCCATTTTGAACCTCCCATAAAATAGGGGGAGGAAAATTCCAAGAGCAGCCCAGTCTCCTATGGCTATAACAGTCCAAAAATATGTTTGAATAAAGTCTTTCCTCACAGTCCCATACCTAACCTGCATAAGCTTCACAGTAAAGGGCAGCACACCTTAAAAAAAAATCAGGCTGTCACCAAGTCTTCAATTTAGAGCCAGTGAGAAGCAAATAGATAAAAATGTCAGGCTTCTGGGCTGAAAGGAGAACCAGAGGGCAGAGACCAGGGCCTCTCACAAAGAGCTGGTCCCGCCCTTTCCGCCATCTTTCCGTGCCGCCACAATGGTGCGCATGAACGTCCTGGCTGATGCTCTCAAGAGCATCAACAATGCCGAAAAGAGAGGCAAACGCCAGGTGCTTATTAGGCTGTGCTCCAAAGTCATCGTCCGGTTTCTCACTGTGAAGCATGGTTACATTGGCGAATTTGAAATCATTGATGACCACAGAGCTGGGAAAATTGTTGTGCACCTCACAGGCAGGCTAAACAGGTGTGGTGTGATCAGCCCCAGATTTGTTGTGTAACTCAAAGATCTAGAAAAATGGCAGAATAATCTGCTTCCGTCCCGCCAGTTTGGTTTCATTGTATTGACAACCTCAGCTGGCATCATGGACCATGAAGAAGCAAGACGAAAACACACAGGAGGGAAAATCCTGGGATTCTTTTTCTAGGGATGTAATACATATATTTACAAATAAAATGCCTCATGGAAAAAAAAAAAAGAGCTGGTCCCCTCTATTTCTAATATTCACTAATATAACTGGGACTGTATCTGCATTTTTGTAACTGACCCCCTTAGATTTCTTTTTTTGGGAGGCTCAATAGGAGACAGTTATCTAAATGACAGTTGTATAGTTTACTTATTTTCCCTACCCACAACTCTTCCCTTCACTTCCCTCCAAAATATTTCCAGCATCCCTTTAAGGTAGAACAATGTGTATGAATTAATGAAGCAGGAGTCCAGCAGGACTTCTTTTCTGGTGGCAACCCTGGAGAACAAAGTAAGATCTGCTCCAGATGGGATAAGGTGAAGAAGCTGGCTAAAACCAGCAGACTGTGACAAGGGCAATCCCTGGCTGCCCTCATTGCTCATTAGCATGGGACACTCCCACCAGCACCATGACAGTTTACACACGCCATGGCAATGACCCTGAAGTTACTGTCCCTTTCCTAGAAAGTTCTAAATAACCCACACCTCAATTTGCATTAACTTGCCCCTTAATTTACATGTAACTGAAAGTGGGTATAAGTTGTATAAATACAGTTGCCAAGAGCCCACATGTTGCAGAGTCAGGGCACACTACCTATGAATTAGCGCTGTTCCACAAGGAACACTACTGTTCGATAAAAGATTGCTGTCTAACATCACTGGCTTGCCCTTGATTTCTTTCCTGGTGAAACTAAGAACTACTGGGCTAACCCCCAGTTTAGGGGCTTGCCTGTCCTGCATCACTACTAGGCCATTCAGTACTAAGGGCGAAGTTCACTTATATCTCAGGATATACTGAGAATTTCCAGACTAATCTCACTGCTTATTGCAACACATAAAAATAGTCAATTTAAGCTGTTCTCTCTCTTCAGCGTGACTCATTGGACAAGTATGCTGGAAGTCAGATGGGATAAGAAAATTTATAACATCTCATGAAATGTAGTTAAGATAGTTCCACATTTAAGAGGATCAGGTTTACGTTCCAGTCCAGTGATTATAACACTATTTGGCTTAACATTATCAATAGCTAAGACATGTGAGGCCTATGTACATGAGGAATAAATGTACAATATTTATTCCTCCAATAAATAATGTGTGGCAGCACCAATACCAAGCAGTTGCCACAGGGAAATGAATATTATTGACCACTAAAAAAATGTGTACATGAGGGAGAAAAAAATCCCACAAAGACAGTCATATTTTTTATTGAAGGAGACTCACTCAAGGTTCTAAGATGCAACATTTTTCTACTTTGATAAATACGTTTTGAGTGGTCATTGCCATGGCATTATTCGTATAAATGTACCATACCATTTATATATACACTCATTCCAACCCACCTATTTGCCTTCCCAGACTATTTGGCTGAGTGGGGTCAAATAGATAAAATAATAGGCACTATATCAGTTGCATTTAATAGCCAAATTTACCCAAAAAAGATTTTACTTGAATCACCAAAGTCTGTATAAAAACATATACCTACGTACATTGGAATCACTAAAGATTTCTGATTCTTCACATTCACAGCAAAGTAATGCTGCTGATTCACTGTCTTCCAAATGAGAGCTCTGTAATACAAACAAGATCATTTCAGAGATCCAAATGAATGGGCCCATAAGCATGAGGGGAAAAGCAAGCTGAAATCACTGAGTCAGTGGTGTTAGCTCACAGATGAGAAGCTGCAATTGTGATTAGTGATGGCTGTTTTGAGAGAGTACAGCCAACAAGGTGACTGGTTAGTTAACTGAGGAATGCTTGATCAACTGAAGCATTTCCTATGGTTTCCTGATTCGGGGAAAGATCCAGCACATCTTTTTCTGTAAAGATGGTGCTGCTAATCCTTTGTAGTATGTACTCTGAAATCTTCTTAGACTGGGCATAGATTTGTGTTCATTTATCTTCACATCCAAAGATACACATTTATTTGTTTAGAGATAGGCTATAGAATATAGCATAGGGTCTGATTAGGGGATCAAACTCTTAGCCTAGCCTCATTAGCCCTCTGCTAACAAGTGTTTATAAGAGCCAAGAGACATGCCCTACCCAATTCCCCCAACAGATGCCAGAAAACAATTTAGAACCTTTTCTTATATTCTCTAGTCTCTTTCTAAAAATCTGTCTAGAAGACAGATAAATAAAATAAGGCAAAGGAGTGAAATAATTAGCTAGTAACATAGGAGTATTTTTTCCTATGACTAACAACACAAAAAAAGGGAACAGAAAAGGATCCAACTCTGACTCATTAGACTGTATTCAAATGTTTGCTCTTTAGCTAACAGTAGCTGGAAACTGAGTTATCCCTACAAGGATCATGGATGTATATGCTTATGTCATTAAAACATCTGACTACCAGTGGCTGAAACTTGTAACCACTCCATAGCTATCCTAGTTGATTCCTACTTTAATTTTTCACAGCTGGGGCTGTGTTTTAACCTGAAGAGTATACCCTCAGAGATAAGAGTTTTAGAGTGCAAATAAACTTAAATGAAAGAAAATAAAGCTCAGAGTGACTCTTTCTGATAACTGACCTGCTCCTGGCTTACTTCCTTCTCATTTTTTTTTTCTACTCTGACCCTTTGCCTACTTTTAGTTTTCTGTCTTAAAACCAAGTCTCATCTGGCATTATCCCTCTCTTCTTCTTTTAGAAAATAATCAGAAATAACCAAATATTTAAAACCACTGTTAAAAAATACTACAAATGCAAGCTTCTATTTATTGCTGTCTTATATTTTGGAGAGGGGAAAATAAGAACATTTACTCTCCGTCTAGCTTAAAAAATATATAAAATATTTGAAGACTTCTGGAACTCATATTAGGTAAGCTAAAGGCTAACTAATATTTGAAAGAATTAAAATGGTAGAGATCAGAGCTGCTTTCAATCTTTCCAAGCTCTCACACTACAACAGATAATAATATAAATATGAAGTACATCAAAAATGGCTTGTCACTGTTACAGTATAAAAACTGAAGAGATGCCGGGCGCAGCGGCTCATACCTGTAATCCCAACACTTTGGGTGGATCACCTGAGGTGAGGAGTTCGAGATCAGCCTGGCCAACATGGTAAAACCCTATCGCTACCAAAAATACAAAAAATTAGCTGGGCATGGTGGCGGGCACCTGTAATCCCAGCTACTCTGTAGGCTGAGGCAGGAGAATTGCTTAAACCTGGGAGGTAGAGGTTACAGTGAGCTGAGATCATGCCATGAGCACTCCAACCAGGGCAACAAGAGTGACACTCCATCTAAAAAATAAATAAATAAATAAATAAATTAAATTAAATAAACAATAAAAACAAAAACTGGAGAGAGCTTGAGCCCAGGAGTTTGAAACCTGACTGGGCAACATAGTAAGACCCCATCTGTATGAAAGAAAAAAATTAGCTACGTGTGGTGGCACTCCTCTGTAGCCCCAGCTAGTTAGAAGGTTGAAGTGGGAGGATCACTTTGGGAGTTCAAGGCTTCAAGTGTGCCATAATTGTGCCACTGCAATCCAGCCTGGACAACAGAGCTAGATCCTGTCTCCAAAACAAAACAAAACAAACCTGAAAAGAGAAAAGTGTAAATTAAACCAAATTATACTAGTTAAGATGTTGCAGTTTTCATTCTTACAAATATTTCAGATTTTCACACTAGCTCTTTCAAAATGATCTTTCGGCTGGGATCGGTGGCTCATGCCTGTAATCTGTGGTTCATGCCTGTAATCCCAGCACTTTGGGAGGCCAAGGTAGGTGGATCACCTGAGGTCAGGAGTTCGAGACCAGCCTGGCCAACATGGTGAAACCCATCTCTAATAAAAATACAAAAATTAGCCAGGTGTAGTGGCGCTCACCTGCAATCCCAGCTACTGGGGAGGCTGAGACAGGAGAATCACTTGAACCTGGAAGGGGGAGGTTGCAGTGAGCCAAGATTGCACCACCAGACTGGGTGACAGAGTGAGAGACTCCGTCTCAAAGGAAAAAAGAGAAAAGAAAATGACCTTTCAAGAAAGAGGGACTGTAACCACACTTGTATTCCTAAAGTTATTTTAAGACTTTACATATATATTTATTAATTGAAACAGCTCAGTAAGATACAAGGTATCCATTACAGTGGGCTGACAGCATTATAACATAATTGGTTCATGGAACAAGTGTTTACTTGCAACTAACATATTTAGTTATAAATTAAATTCTGAGAAACCTAAAGGAAGACAAAGGAGAAAAGTCAAGTTCACTTCCCTGCCTTCTGAGACCTGGTAACTCTAATTACTGAATTGTTTCTGGGTCCTGCAAAGTAAATAGTTTTTCTCATGACTCTATGACTTATTCCAAGATTGCAAGGACAAATTAATATTTAGGACCTCTATTAAACTACACAATATTTAAACATATGCTAAAAAGCATTTTGTAAAATTAATAGTCATTTCTGGTTTCAAACATTTTTAGTAAGCTAGGAATACAAAATGCAGCCTTAATTAACTGCATAGATGGGCTTTTGAAAATTTTTTTGAGATGGAGTCTCTCTCTCTTGCCCAGGCTGGAGTGCAGTGGCATGATTTCAGCTCACTGAAGCCTCTGCTCTCTGGGTTCAAGCAATTCTCCTGCCTCAGCTTTATGAATAGCTAGGAATACAGGCATGCGCCACCATGCCCAGCTAATTTTTATATTTTTAGTAGAAGACAGGGTTTCACCATATTGGCCAGGATGGCCTCTATCTCCTGACCTTGTGATCTGCCCACCTCAGCCTCCCAAAGTGTTGGGATTACAGGCGTGAACCACCATGCTGGGCCTAGGTGGGCTTTCATATATAGTGACTCTCACTGGTAGGCCTTTACCTCAACATTGTTGCCTGAATTTCATATTGTAAAAATTCCCTCAATGTTTCTTCTAGCATGAGGGTGCTGATCTTCCCCAGTTTGTAGTACAGATACCAATTCTCTTTTCTTCTTTTGAATGTCCCTTTGGCAAAAATTTTGAAGAGGACAAAGTCAAACTCATATTCTTGTACTGAAAGTATCAAGCCAAAATTTTAACTAAATTGAGTTCACATCCTGGTTCTGCCACTTACTAGCCGTGTGATTTTTAGTACATTCCTTAATTTCTTTGAGCTGGATTTCCTTATCCATAAAAATGGGCCCAATAATAACTTCTATTTATTAGGGCTGTTGTAAAGATTGTATGAGAAATAACATAAGAAAAGCATTTAGAGACATAGAGCCAGGTGTGGTAACATATGCCTGTAGTTCTAGATACTCAGCTACTCTAGAGGCTGAGGTGAGAGGACTTCAACCTGGGAGTTTAAGTCCAGCCTGCACAACATAGCAAGACACCTGCCTCTACAAAAACAAAAAACAAAAAACCAAAAAGTAATAAAGAAAAAGCACTTCGAATAACTTAGCTTCTGATGTTGCCTTATTACTGCTGCTTCTAATAATAAAAATAAATGTTACCATAAAAATTAATCTCCTTCCTAGATCTAAAAGGCTTATACACTTGGGTTATAACTTTCTTTCAAAGAAACTTTGTCTTCAAGGGAAATTTTGCTTATATCAAATATTAAATGTTTTTCATTCTTAAACAATTTTTTCTTTATTTAAGAAAAATTTTACGCCTGTAATCCCAGCACTTTAGGAGGCCGAGGTGGGCGGATCACAAGGCCAGAAGATAGAGACCATCCTTGCCAACATGGTGAAACCCCATCTCTACCAAAAATACAAAAATTAGCCAGGAGTAGTGGTGTGCACCTGTAGTCCCAGCTACTTGGGAGGCTGAGGCAGGAGAATCACTTGATCCTACGAGGCAGAGGTTGCAGTGAGCCAAGATTACCCCACTGCACTCCAGTCTGGTGACAATGAGAGACTCTGCCTCAAAAAAAAAAAAAAAAAAGACAAAATCATATTCCTTATATAACCTGGAAGCACTGAGCTCACAATGAGTCATTCTTTGCTATTTATTGTATCCCTACTGTGTATTAAGCACTTTTCTGGGTATGGAATTATTAACAGCTAAGGTAAAACACCAAACAAAAAGGGAAAGGAAACTGAACCGGTTAAAAAAAAAACAAAACAGTTTTTTGCTTTTTATGGGGATGCAAAAACCACAAAGATAGGATATAACTTTGTGGAAACATGTCCCTTTGGCTAAGCACTGTGTGGAGAAAAACAGGGGGTAAGATCGTTAGTAAGAAAAACATCCACGTATAACAGGAAGTTTCAACCCAGAACAGTTTCTAAGGAACAATTATAGTAATAAAATGTTGCAATTTTTATGTGGACTATATGATGAAAGAACTCATGTACTAAGAAGGATGTTTTCAAGAGTGTTAAAATCTAACTTGTGCAGTTACCTAACAATTTACAAACAGAAGTCTTAAGAAATAATCTCACAAGAGTCAAAACCTGTTGCCCTGTTGTTACTGTTCAGTCTCTTTTACTCTATTATTATTATAGATTGTATGGTTTTAAAAGGCAGAAAACATTTACTATTTCTTTCCATCTTTCTTCCTCTCCTTGTTTTCTTTTTTTTTTTTT